CATGGTGGACCATGCTAGCACCACACATGGTTCCCCGAGCCCTACTAGGAGTAAGTAATCCCTGCGAGTTCAAAGCCAGGAGTAAAACAAACAAAAAAAAGATAAAAGATAATAGCTCAAAACCAGGAGTAAAACAAACAAAAAAGATAATGAATAAGATTCTGAGTGGTTACAAAACTTCCTCCTCAACACACATACTGGCCAAGAGAACACATGCAGAGAGTAGTGGTCTTTCCTGGGACATTTCTTGCCTAGGCCTCTACAATGACCACCCTTTTAAAATCACATTTCTTGACTAGTCGTAGAAAAAAAAGAAACAGGGAAAGAAGAGAGGGAGAGGAATGGAGAAAGAACCAATGGCTGGCTGGGTACCTCTAACTCTGAGCGCTTCTCATCTTATGATTCAACGACCTCATCCACGATACACTGTTGTTTGTAATTCTATTTTTTCAGAGGATGAAAACTGCAAAGTAAGGGATTCTTGCTACCAATTTCACATATTAACAAAATTTCTCTGGAAGATAAAATGCAATTCAAAGGACTGAGAAAGGAAAAAGTAGGTTTACACAGAATAATCCTTGAGAAACCACTGGGACGAGATAAAATAGTAGCAACATATTAGTAAAAAATGTCGGAAACAGGAGAATTTAAATGACTATAACTCATCATAAGTCAAATTCTCATCTTTTATTAAGACATAGTAAGTGAATAAGTGTTATTATTTTCAAAGTAACCTGAGAAAATACTCATTTGGATTCAGCCAAATCTAAGTACAGGGTTCCTCACTAACAGATTCACTAAAGATTCTTTTCTTTCTAGGTAAGTCTCCAAGCAGAGTCCTATCCTCAAGCTGGCCAGAATTTCCAGTAATAAAAACAAAGGCAGAATTCAGTAGGGGTAACCCTTAAATATTATAAATGGAACTTTAATATCAGCATTGTCACTAAAGCAATTTCTACCCCTCAAATACTCCCCAAACTCTGGCAAAACAGGAGCTACACACTAGGGTGCAAGATTTTCGCTCCTTTTGTGGCACATGAGTAGTGTCAAGGTTTAGGTCACTAGATGGAAGAGTAGTGTCCCAGAGTACTTAATTCCCCAAACAGGAAAAATCACGCTCCTTGTCCTGAACTCTTCTAGACTCTAGGAAGGCTGATGTTTCTAACTCTGTTAATAGGAAGAACCTAACTAAGGTAACATATCATCAACTAAAACAATGTCACAGAAAATATAATTTGCAAACACAACTAGAACACTATGGAGTTTCCTATAGCTGTGTATAATACATATGTAGCTCTATCAGCTATATTTTATGAAATACTAAATGCACTGCATTACTTCAAGAAATTCAGTTACAAATATGTAATTACAAGGTGGTATTTTTACCCCACAAATATAGGATTCAAAAGCTTGGTTACATTTTTACTCTTAAATATTATTTCAGATTATAAGTTAATCACAAAAGCCCTAATATAATGCATTTGTTAAATTTACTGAACTATATATGATTAGCTGGTATTTCAGCAAGTCAAAACGGTCCCAAGAATTTTCCAATAACTAGAACAAAAATATACCTGTTCTCAAAATCCTCCATATCAAGATTTTTTCAGAAGTCAAATTCTCATCTTTTATTAAAACATAATAAGTGAAAGTCTAGTCTTAAGTGAATTGTTTCAGGTAGAAGAATCTAGTATCTATGAACATGTGTTGGGAAGGCACTTCTGAACTTTAAATTAGGCATTTATTACTATTCAAATCAATTTAACAACTAAAAACAAATTGCTCAGAATACAAAGCACTTCCTCAGACTTTTTATAAACTCTTCTCATGCTTCCCTTAGAAAATTACCAAATACAAAGATAAATTTAGCAAAACAAGTTGAAAGCACTAAACTTTTAGCAGTTTAAAACAAAACATACAAAAATTTCAACTGCACTACTTTCCGTTTCAAGGAACCTGAAATATATATTATCGGAGTATACTTATGTGAAACAAGTTATTTTCTACTAGGTTAAAGGGGTACATGAAATCCCAAACTCAAAAGACTAAGCCTGAGGACCATTTCAGATAGCCAAATGAAGACAACAGTTTAGAAAAATACCCAGGCCAACTATTTCCCAGTGTGGGGGTACAAGAAAATTACCCCCAGGAAAACTTTGAAAATTCCTCCTAAGATTTCATTCTAAGGACTGAGACCATGCTTGGCCTGCCGGCAGCCTGGAGAGACCCAACACTGCAGGGAGCACAACCAGCCCCCATCCAACACAAAGCCAGGAGCTGCCCCCAGCACTGCCTGGGTGTGGTTCAAAAACAAAACACACACAAGAAGATCTCATTCTACAACTTGTGGAGTTTTCCCTCCAGACACTGATCGCACCATTGGGGGGCTGGGGGGAGCAGAAGGGGTGTCAGGGAATGTAATGAAGGAGGGTGTGTGAAGGTGTAGTCAGAGAGAAGGATGTGTTAAATAAGTTTTGGATCAATTAACCTGTGGATGATGAAGCAATTAAAGACCAGTTCTGAAAGAATTGCTGCTTGAAAAAAGTACTAACTTGTAACCACTTTAGTAACACTAAAAAGTCTAAAATCCATTTCTTATATTAAAAAGTATATTTTCAAGTATAGATGGAACTCACTTGTCTTAAAAAAAAACAGCTAATTTTCACTTCAATTCTCTACTTGGAAAGCTGTCTGATTTGTTACTAAATAACTCTCAAAGACTCAAATACAACTTACACACCCATTAAAAATAAAAAATAAAATACAAAACATGTCACTCAATTTTCTTGTCAAAATTACGAAATCTAGCACGTTCTTAAACAACAAAACGTCTCTATCTAACTAGAATAGTGACACTTTCCAGGCTACACAAAACTTTTAAAATAGAGAATTATTCTTGGCTAACTTGTATATACATTTTAAAAATTATAGTCAAACACCTGGTTTCAAAAATGACAGTCACATAAAGCTAACAAACTTTAGATTATTTTAGTATTTTAACTCATCTTAACTGTTTTACTCATTTTGAATTCATTTATTTGCCCTCTTAAAAAACCATAGCACTGTCCCTGAAGGCTAATCAGCAAGTTCTTTTTCCCTCTGTGCCAACACATCATCTCCAGGACAGTTTCTACTAGCTGCAGCAAAGCAATAATTCTACAATGAATTTGAGTTACCCTTTGCTAAGGTACACAGTGAGATTCTGGTTCATGATCATCTTTTTCAGTTTATGGACAGCAAGGAAAGATCAAGGTAAGATGACACTGGCATGAAACTGCCAGCAACGAAGTCACTGACTTCAAAAGACAGACTTTGGTAGTTAGTAATTTAACAACGAAGAAAAACTGTTCAAGATGAAAAGCACCTCAGCCAAATTTGAAACTGCACAGTGGAAAGGAGACCCAAAATAAGCATTTAAAATATGCGAATTTGGCTGAAAATGAAGTCTGGTTGATAGGATCAAGTGGACAAATCAGAACAACTCGAAAATCCTTACTTCTGGCAAAAGAGATCTTAATAAACCCGAGTGTCCGTTTCAAGGGATTCCAGTGTCATTTTCTCCAGAAATAATGTCACGGTGCCAACTGTGCAAGACTTGGGTATTATTTGAAAGGAGCACAGGCAACCCCGGTATGCAAATGGAAAGGAAATGATGAAACTACACAATTTTAATATACAAAAGAATCGGGTCGACGTATCAGGTCACTGAAACACACGTATCAATAATGCTGAGCGAGACCTGGCCGGCTCGAAACATCCTTCTTCCAAGGCTCACGGGGCAAAAACTGCTTTCCTAAGAGCTGCACGTTAAGAGGGACGGGGGGGAGGGGGGGGGAAATCCCCTTTTTGAAACTGCTTTTTTTCAAGACCATCATCTCCCTCTCTCCACGTCAGGATTCTGATCAAGTACGACCACGAGGCAATTCTTACACGGAAAAATGGGAAATCTGAGAAAAGCACCGACTCGATTCCCTGGAACATCCGCTGACAACCAAAGCCTGCGAAATCAACCTTAATCTGCCCACGAAAACACGCAAGATGTCTCCGAACAATCCTCCTCCTCCTCCCCCCATCAGCTGCACCCTCGAGTCCGGGGCTGCCCTCCACCTGGCCGGGGGGCGCCGACGGGGCCGAGCCCAGCACCCCGCCGCCCCTCCCCCGCGCCCGGGCCGCGGAGGCAAAGAAAAAAAAAGCGTTATTTTTGCTGGAGCAGGAATCCAGCCCCTGGGAGCCTCCAGCCTTCCAGACAATGGTGGTTACCAGCAAGCGCCGCACAGTCGGGTCCGAATGACACATTTCACTAGGCCTTGGACACTGCACACTGACACGCACGCTCGCACACACACACACGCGCGGGCGCATTTTCTCCCCCCCACCCCCCGGGCAGCTCCGCCGAAGGGGCGTCCGGAGCCCACTCGGGAGCGGCGGCGCGGGGGGTCGCTCGGGGGGCGCGCGGGTAACTGCACCCGGCGCGCGAGGGAGGCGCGGGGGAGGGGGCTGGAAATGGCCGATGGGTTCTAGAGGGATCGATTCCGATGGAAGCGGGCCCTTCCCGGGGGTTCGGCAACTCCGGGCCAAGTGCGCAGCCGACGCCGCGGCGGCGGCGCCCCCGGACCCCGTGACGCGGGCGGCCAGTCCCCGGCCCCCCCACCGGCCACACACACACACACACGCGCGCGCGCGCACACACGCACACACTCCGCCCGCGGACCCCGCGGATCCCCTCACCCCCGCCGGCCCGCGGGGAAAAGGCGGAAAACAAGTTCCCGGCCGGGCCCCCGCCCCCCGCGGCGGCGGGCAGGGCGGGGGGGTCGCGGCCCGCTCCCCCGCCCCGGCGCCCCCCCGGCTGCGGCGGGGTCCGGGCGGGCGGCCGCGGGGCCCGGGCGCCGGCTCCAAACAAAGCGCGGCCTGGCGGCGGGGGCGGCCGCGGCTTTTCCTGGCGCTCGGGCCGGGGCCCCTCGCGCGCGCGCCCGCCCGCCCGCCCGCCTTCCCCGGCTTACCCCGCTCGCCGGCGTTGTTCCGCTCCTGGGGCGGCGGCGGAGGCGGCGGTGGCGGCGGCGGCGGCTGCTGCTGCGGCGGCTGCTGCTGCGGCGGCGGCGGCGGCGGCTGCTGGGGCGGCTGCGGCGGCGGAGGCTGCTGCGGGGGCTGCTGCTGCGGCTGCTGCGGGGGCTGCTGCTGCTGCTGCTGCGGGGGCTGCTGCTGCTGCTGCTGCTGCTGCGGGGGCTGCACCGGGCGCGGCCGCGACACTCGCCTGGGTCTCCGGTTGGCGGCTCGGACGGAGTTCATTTGCCGGGCTGAGGTGGCGGCGGCGGCGGCGGCGGAGGGACACACGCGCGCGCGGGCCGCGAGGCAGGGCCGCCGAGGGCGCCGGAGCCCAGGCGAGGCCGGCCGGGCGCGCCTGACGCACCGCCAAGGCCGAGGCCGCCGGGCGGGGCGGCCGCGAGGGGCCGGGGCGCCGCGCCGGGCCGAGCGGGCGGAAGAAAGAAAGGGCGTCCGCCCGCCGGGCGCTGCCGAGACTGAGCCCGGGCCCGCCGACTCCCGAGCGGCGGCTCCGGCGGCGGCGGCGGCGGCGGCGGCGGGGGGCGGGCGGGCGCGGCGGCGAGGCGGCGGCGGCGGCGGCGGCGAGCGGCGGAGGGAGGGAGGGAGCGGGGGCGCCCGGCCCTTCTTTCTCTTCCCTCTTCCTCCCCCCCGCACCCCCGGAGCGAGGCTTCGGAGAGGAATTTTTTTCTCTTTCTTCGGCCTCTTCTCTCGCCGCCCCCCCGCTCTCCTCCGCGAAGGGGAAATGAGTCTGAAGGGAGGAGACAGGGGAAAAAGAGGCGTCGTCGTTCCTCCTCCTTAAAGGCGCCCGTCCTCCTCCTCCTCCTCAGCCTTGTCGCCGCCGCCGCCGCTGCTGCTGCTCCGTGGCAGGAGGAGCCATTGACACCGCCGGAGCCTCCGCTCGCCCAGTGGGTCCCTCCCCGCCGCGGGGCTGGCCGGGGGCGCGGGGGAGGGCCGCGGGCGGCGGGGGAGGGGGAGGGGCGGGCGGCGGGGGCGGGGAGTCCGCCGGCCGGCCAATGGGAGGCGCCCCACGGCCCCGGGCCAATCGGCGCCCGGCCCTGCGCCGGAGCCCCCGCCTTCCCCGCCCGCTTCCTCTCTCGGCTCCCTCCCTGCCCGCCGCGGAGGGGGCCGGCGGCGAGGGGCGTGCGGCGGGGCGGGCGAGAACGGGGAGGTCTCGGGGCGTCGGACGGAGCGGGAGGGGGCGGGCGCGGGGAGGGCTGGTGCGTAGCGACTCTCGGCGGAGAGGAGGCGCTCGGGGGGCAGGGCGGGGGCTGCTGATGTAATGGGGAGAAGTGATTAATCCTTTGCCTCGCCGTTCCTCTCCCCCTGCCGCCGCCGCCGCCGCCGCCGCCAGCTTCCCCCGATTTTTTGAGCGGAGAGGAAAAGTGGAGCGAGGGGGTCGGGCTCTCTGTGCTCGGTAGGTAGGTAGGTTCCCAGGCCGAGCTGTAGGGAGCGCTCGAGAGGCCGCGCCCTTTCGCCGAGCCCCGGCGAGCCGCAGCGCCCAGCCGGGACCCGGGCAGCCGGAGCGGGAGGCGCGCCTCGCCGTCCGCGGGGGACCTCGGGAGCGGATCCCATCCGTCGATCCGCCCCCTGTTCTGCCCGTCGGGCAGCTGGCAGTGGGCAGCACTGGGCAGTCCACTTTTTTTGCAAATGAAGACGGAATAGTTAATGTTCGGGAAAATAATGAGGAAAGGAGAGGAGTAAATGTATTGAGGCTGGGCTCGTAAATTTTATATATATTTACATACGCGCAATTCTATCTCTCTATTTATCTGTCTATCTATCTGTCTATCTATCTGTCTATCTATCTATCTATCTATCTATCTAATCTAGCTATGCCTTTCTTTAAAGAAGTCACAAACTCAAAGAGAGAACCCCAGGAGAAATACTCTTGAATCTGTACCTGGGCCCGTCAACAAACACAGTTCATTCATACCTCAGGCTGATAGGGTGACTTGGAAACAAAGTAACCTTTCTCCATCCTCTGCTGGCTCGATCCTTCGGTCGGTTGTAGTAGAACTGAACGGTTTACCTGGTTCTTTCAGGTAAACTTGATGTTCAGACCGTTGGGTGGTTTCGACTTCGAATCTGGTCTCAGTTGTTAGGCAGGCTTGAAAGATGCTCAAGCAGAGTTGGGAGAAGAAGGGGTGAGGGGTGAGGGGCCTGGAGCCCCTGTGGAGGTGGGTGCCTGATTTGATATGTGAGTCCCGGCAAATTACCTCTCTAGGTATCAGCTGTACCCGCCCCTCTTGAATGAACTTTGGTTTGAGTCAGTGCAAAGGCGGAGGGAAACTACAATCAACTACACGTTTTCTAAGTGGGACCATCATTTTGATTTTTTCTAGATGTTTCCTTTATTGCCTAACAGCACTTACTGGTTTCCCTCATGTAAGCATTACTTATGTAAGGTGCTAGGGGAATGCCAATAAAATTTAAAAGCAAAATCGTGGCCAGAAAGAGTTTGTGTTTTTGTGTAGCGGACTTGAAATAATCACTTATGTTGATTTAGATGACAAAGATTTCATTTTCTGTCATTTTAAACCTCAAGTTCTTACATTATCCTACATATGTGTAACTGTTGCATCTTTCAAATTTTGTTTCCCTACCTTTTCATTCCAAGGTACTTATGGGGCCCAAGGATTGCCACATACATCTTCAGCCTTCCAGATTCCTGTTTATTACAATTTTCTGGTGTATGACAATGAATTGCTTTGTTATAACAAAGGCAGTAGATTATGAAAATTTTCTGATAGACTGAATTGTCCTGAGAAAGAAGTGCAGTTTTCAGTTTGACACCAGGACTTGTAGGATTTTTGTACCCTCGGCAATGGGAAGCTTACATGGCATCAGAGAAGGGCCCGAAGCGTCGAGTGGTTGATCTGGTCTGAAAGTACCACTGCTCATCTCAGAGGAAAAGTAGGTGGTCACTACTGGCCTTGTGAGATGTCCTATAGTTCTGTGCTGAAGTTAATACCTGAGCCCTTTGCCTTCTGCTCTGCACCCTTCATACTGACCCCAAGTGTGCAAGTCCATTTGCGGCTTTTCACTGAAACAAATGGGAACTTCTGGGTTTCCTAATTACTGCACATAGGCCTTGATGAGCCGAGAACCTGCATTTTCATTGGTTTAGTCATCTTCCTCCACCAATGTTACATTATCTTTACATCAGATTGAACATGGTGTCAAGCTTCAAAGTAGAGTTCCTAGAGGACTCAGCCTCTCACTTATGTACCCCAGGGGAAAAAAACACCATCTCCAATTTTCTTGCATTGTCTTACATCTATTTGAATACTTTTAACTACATACCTCCCATTCCAGTTTTCACCCTGAGAAGCAGTAGGAAGTATCCAGTTACTGCTTCCTTATCCCCTTTTGGTTCATCAAACCTCAGGATCACAAGAGGGTTTGTTTTGGTTTTTGCAGTGCCAGAGTTCAAAATGAGGGCCTCACAGACCCTGGAAAAAGAAAAGTAGGAAAGTGCTCTACTACTAAGCTAAATATACGCTGCCCCCCCCCCCCCCCGGATTTTTTACTTTTTTGTTTGTCAGGATCTTGCATTGTGCACTATTGGCTTTTTCATTCTTGTGATAGAAGATCGGGTTCTGTTCTCTTTCTTAACCATGAAGGCGATAGAGTGCATGAAAGAAACTAACAATAATAGTACAGCTATTGAGAGATGGTTTAAATTGTTACTCTATCCTCATTATCACTAGTTCCTGCATATTTTCAGTTTATCTTATGGGATTAAATTAGAGTTTTCTTTGTGGAAAAAAAAGATTCAAAAATTGTGGAACTTGAGAGTTGTTAGAATGGAACTTGGAAATCATTTGATTCTCATTTCTGTAGTCTGGCCGATTGGGAAACAAGTTCAGAGGGGTGAAGGAACTAAACCAAATCTCCTAAAGACTTAGCGCAAACTTATTTACCTGGCAGTCCAAAGCCTTTTTTATTCATAGGTTATTATAGACTCTTAATTCTTCCAATGAAAGCCTAGAATATTCCAGATGGTTTTATCTATCCCAGATCCCCCCATGTTAGCAAACAATCTCATCAATTTGCTATCACAGAAATTATGTATAGGAGAAAAAGCAGATAAAAATGTGAAGGGGGGGCTAGTTGGAATAGGAGTCTCCCTGAATGATTCCAGTATACATTTAGCATAATTTCAGAGGACTGAATTCCCTCAGGGGGTGCTCTCTCTCTGCCAGTGCGCTTGTGTTTGTTTTTCTCAACTAATTACTGGTGCCTAACAGGTTAGTGTACTTAAAATTATTTGTTTATAAAACCTATCACAATAGGAGTTTGGAAAAAATAAGCTCTTTTGTCATCCTAGTATGTGGCAGGCGATATTTATTGTGATTTTTAAAAAGATTATTTGTGCCGTTTCAAAGATTCAGCTTCCCTTTTCACCATTAGTTACATAAGAACCTCAAAGCTGCTCTATTCCTTTTAAGTCATTGAGGAAATTAGTTTGATCTGAATATGGTTTTCCTGAAGGAATAACTAGCTCTGTTTAAAATATCCTTATTAGAGTATGAATGACTTATCTTACTAAGCTACAAAAATTCATTCTTTAGAACATGCTCAGATAATAGTTTATCAGTTAGGAAGTGAAAATTAACTTGGAACTAAGGATTTAAATTTAATGTACGTGTGGGAAGACCTGGTAAGCAGGCAACCCAATGATAATCATAATAGAGGTTATCTTTAAAGAATTATAGAATCTAAATGTAATATCTTCCCTGTGGAATAATAGAGATAGAGCACTATTGAAAGAAATTAATTAAGTTTGAGATTTAGGATGGGCTGTGATAGACTTTATTTTCGTTTTACACAAGCAGAATCCACTTTCAAGGCATTGAGAGAAGATTAGGGCAAACAATAAAAGTGCTATTTTTGTGGAAGGACTGGCAGGTGCCAGTGTGGGCAGATGTGAGGGAACCTCACCTTGGGTAAATAACCTCTCTGTTCTTCGGCCTCTGAATATGTCAGATGGGAGTGAAAAGACCTCTGATTTCATGGGATTACTTAGAGATTTAGTGAAGGAATAGCTTCGTTATGATTAAAACAGTGCTTAGTTCATAGCAGGGTACAATTTACCCTTAGAATTGGTAGTGGTAAAGGTAAAGGTAAAGGCCCTCCCGTTGATCGTCGATTTGCTTGAGCGGGCCAGTAACGTCTCCATTGGAGACTTTGTTGTAACTGTGTTTGGCATATCGAATACTCTCGGTAGCTTGCCGGGCTCTCCGAGAGGGGCGGAGGAATCGAACTCGGGTCGACCATGTTAGCCGCTTGTAAGGCGAACGCCCTACCGCTGTGCTATCGCTCCGCGTTATTTCAAGGCTTTCCTCATTTTTTCAGATTACA